CAGTTAAATCACTGGGTAAAAAGAGATTAAACTAAAAGATCAAACTGGTAACCCCGAGGAACTCACTTTATTTTGATAACATGGGTTTTTATTTTTATTTTTTTGATTTATTGTAGAGATGAGGTCTCACCAAGTTGCCCAGGTGGGTCTCGAACCCGCAGGGGCTTAGGCAATCCACTCACCTTAGCCTCCCAAAGCGCGGGATTACAGGCTGAGCCACCGAGCCCGGCTGATAACATGGGTTTTAAAAGTTGAATTCATAATAGACTTTAGAAAAATCAGGTAATTATATAACTACAGTACCTGATAAAACTAGAGTTTCATTCTTATGTGGTAGAAAACATTTGGAACTGTGAAGAAACATGGACTTGACTACATTAGAAGGAGGAACTGCACTATGGTTTGACGTAGTCCATACCATGTTTATTGCTTTTCAACATGGAGGAAAAGCATTACATTTGATCACTATGCTTGCACTGTTATTTTCTTAGGGTGAATTTAAGAGAAATGAATATATTTTTTGTATCCATGTGTAGTTAGATGTAACAGTAAAACAATAGCCTGAATGAGTGGCACTTTTCAAAAAATAATATATTCTTTTCTTTTATTTTCTTTGCTCTTGTAGCTATGTGCATTTGCCATATTTGATGCATACCAGTCAAATTAAATCCTACAATATTATTTAAAGCTGATTTCTTACTAGAACAGGTTGTCTTCCTATTGATAGGAGGTTGAAAAACTGACTTTCTTTTTTTACTTTTCTCATAAGGCAACTTGTATAGTTTGAGGTCAACTGTGAACCTCATACCTTTTATTAGTTTATATTCGTTGTGTGTTTTTTTTTTAAGTGCATTCTTTCCATTTTATCACACTTTTAAATTTCATTCTGGCATATGTATTTCTTATGTTCACCAAGGTTGTTTCATTCTGTTCTCTGTTATACAGTGATAATTACCTCTCTCATACTAATAAATCAGTTTAATATTCTGACATCTAACATTTGTGATAGTATTAAATAGTACCTGTTCTCAGACAGATCTTTTGGAGAGCTAGTATATTTCCATTGGCAGTGGTGAAATAAGTTTGGAAATGTATGTTAGCCTCTAGGCACTTTGATTTTGAGATGTAAAGATGAGGTTTATAGATTTGCTTTTGCCCAGCTCCTCCAGTGTGTGAAATGGTTAATGTCTAGATTCCTGAAGCTACTTGGTGAAGTAATGTATAAGTACAAAATTGGTTGAAGAGAATCAGATTTCAAATGCCATTTCAAAACTGTTGTTTGGGGCCATACCTCAATTGCACAGAGTTGCCTTGACTGGAAATATGTTCACATGCCAGGCTCTCCTTCTTCTTTGTGACTGTATTTTGGTAATCCAAGCTGATAGTATTCAGGCTCTAAATGTGTGACTTTTGAATGTTCATTAGTTTTGTTAATTTAGTAATACTCAAAAAAAAAAATTGGATTTTTATTTTCAAGATATCTTTTTCTTTTTTTGTTTTATTACTTAAATGCAGTTGCTACCTCTTTATCAGAACATAAACAGCATCTCATTTAGTTGTATGTGTTGGATCATTACTATGTACTGAACACTGTACTTAGTTGTAGTGTTTTTGTGTATGTGTGTGCGTGAACACATACATACCCACTCCCAAGGAACTTGTAATTGAAGAGTATTTTAACATTCTTGGAGAAAATCTTGAGGATTTAGTATACCAAATTCTTTAATATACAAGGATAAATATGTGTATGTGTTTGAAGTGCCAGATAAACAGAAAAAGTGCTTGACTGATTATTTCTTTTCAAGAAACTAGATCTAGTGTCTCCTTTTTTGCTTGCATCATAGTAATAACCATATGATACGCTCTGGGACTTTTTGGTGTAATTTTTTTTTCTGAGAAAATGGTATAATTTGGTGAGGAGACAAGAGATGGTCTATAGACAAAAGATCTGGTCTATCTGTAGATTCAGATTATAGTTTTAATATAGAAGTTAGCAGTGATAGTGTGTGTGAACTTTCTCTTATTTTGCCTAATTAATAAGTTAATGACTTAAGCAATGATGCTTTGTAGCCATTGTTCAAAATGATCTATAATATTAAATTGTCTAGAATAATTTTTATGACATAATGCATTGAATACATTCTCATTTTGAAATCCTAGCAGTACAGAAGTAAGCAGAATAAATTTTGACTATCTACCATCATCTCCATTTCCACCCTTCTTGCCTTAGTAAAGGTAATCATGAGCATATTACCAAAAAAGGCAGTACATAATAATAATAGCTAACACCAGTTGAGTATCTATTAAGTGTAAGATATTTCACACCATAAGATGTACCTTTTAAAAACCTTATTCTACTCTATCTTCATAATAAGCCAATTTATAATTGGAGATATGAACTCTTAGAGATGATAGAGATTGTATAGATATTGTTTAGAAAGATATAATTTGAACTTGCATCTACCCTGATCCAAAAGCCATTCAAATCTTATGGGAAAGAGAGAGATTAAAATAATGACATGATGCAGAGCTAATATATTTACTTGAGCACTTGAATTATCAAAGATTGGCCAATGAGAATGATACATCTTAACTCAGACACTTTCCTACTTGTATTATAATTGTGGTGGTTTATTGTATGTCTGTCCTTATTTTTTTTCTTTTTTTCTTTTTTTTTTTGAGTTGGAGTTTTACTCCATCGCCCAGACTGGAGTGCCACCGCAGCCTCGATCTGCTGGGCTCTGGCGATCCTTCCGCCTCTGCCTTCCGAGTGGCCAGAATTACAGGCGCGCGCTACCACGCCCAGCTGATTTTTGATTTATTGTAGAGATGAGGTCTCGCCAAGTTGCCCAGGCGGGTCTTGAACCCGTGGGCTCAGGCAGTCCACCCACCTCAGCCTCCCAAAAGCGTGGGATTACAGGCTGATCTACTGAGCCCGGCTTGTCCTTAATTTTCAAACAGTACATCAGTTAACTAAAGTATAATGAGTAACAAGTACAGTGACTGGAAAAAGGAGCTGCATGGAGCTTTTGTCACACTGAAGGTGGCAAGGAGAGAGTCAGTCATGTCTCAAGTGCCATTGATGAGGTTTAATACAGTTTCTTGTTTTGTTTTGTTTTTCTTTTTGTTTTTGTTTTTTTGAGTTGGAGTCTCACTCTGTCGCCCAGACCGGAGTGCAATGGCCGCTCCTGGCCACCGCAGCCTCGACCTGCTGGGCTCCGGCAATCCTTCCGCCTCAGCCCAAGTAGCCGGAATTACAGGCATGCGCTACCACACCCGGCTGATTTTGTGATTTTATTGTTGAGATGAGGTCTTGCTGCCCAGGCGGGTCTCGAACCCGTGGGCTCAGGCAATCCACTCACCTCAACCTCCCAATGGCGCGGGATTACAGGCTGAGCCACCAAGCCTGGCTTAATACAGTTTCTTGATGAATGTTTCTTCATTTGCTGTATGGCTATTGAAAATTTTTAGGATCTTGGATTAAAAAACAAAAAACAACAACACTTTTAGTAGTTATACAGACCAGTTCCAAAGATCTCTTTATGCCATCATTCTGGAAGAGGAACTGCTATGAAACTCCACCTTTGTCTTAGATGAGAGTTTATATTAATAATTATGATTTAGATTTTATCTTCAAAAGTATGCTTTTCCTTCAGCCAACACATTCACATATTATGCATTGGTTGCCTTCTAATACTGTCATAAGTTTTTCTATAATTTGACTCATGGTAGTTTTTGTTCTATGTCACAGAGGCAGTGTTTGCTAGACTTCTTCTGACCAAAGGGGCTATGCCTCTTTGGTGCTGGGAGTGTTTGAAACTTGATGTATGTGGGGAGCTCCTAGTCTGTGGGGCATATCCTAGTCCCCCATCATCACAGGGTGAACTATTCTGTCACAACCCCTTTTATAGATTATGATATGTCCCAAGAAGCTCCTAGACTTCTGGAGGCCTAAAATTTTCCTGGGATTAATGTTGCTCAGGGATGCCACATCTTAACCTAATTTTCCCTTTTGCTGCTTCCCTCATTTTGCTTCTATATGGATTTAGATTGTTTAATCAACTAGGATTGGAGAGTAGCGTTACTTAGGAAGATCCTGAGACCAGACCTCATTCTGCGGTATTGAAAGGGAGAAGAAATATTCTTTTCCCATTATTGCTTTAGATATCAAAATATTAAAGATAGGTGGAGATCAGAGTCCATGAAAAAGAGTTGTCTTAACTTTCCTAGTCTCTTAATTGTGGACAAATGTTAACGTAATCTTCTGCAGCTCATACAGAATGTCTACGGCTACCTGATTAGCTTGACTGATGGGTGTGTGTGTGTGTGTGTGTGTGTGTGTGTGTGTGTGTGTGTGTACATATATAAAATCAAGGGACAACTTGTAATTTGATAAAAAATTTAATAGGCCAAATTTTTCTGTATGATTGCCTTTTTAAAGGTAACAGAGGCTGGTTGTGGTGGCTCATACCTGTAATCCTAGTACTTTGGGAGGCCGAGGTGGGATGATTGCTTGAGCTCAGCAGTTTAAGATCAGTCTAGGCAACATAGCATGATCTTGCCTCTATAAATAAATTAAAAAAATTAGCCAGGCATGGTGGCATATGTCTGTAGTCCTAGCTACTTGGAAGACTGAGGCAGATGATTGCCTGAGTTTAGGAATTCAAGACTGATTAGCCATGATCATGCACTCCAGCATGGGCGAAAGAGTGAGACCCTGACTAAAGAAAGAAAAGAAGATAGAGTATATTAAATATATTATCAAATCTTAGAATATCAGGGCTTAATTTTTGAACCAACTTTTAACTGATATAAAACATTATGTATATTTAATCATGAGTATTTTAAAATGTTACTTCAATTTGGTAATTATTGTCTATACTTGCTTAGATTATGATAATGTTACTTTATTTTTTCCCAGTGTTTTATAAAGCTTCTGTTTTCTGGGATTTTGTTTTGTTTTTGTAAAAAAATTAGATATAAATGATTTTCTTTTTTAGACTAAACTTCAGTGGCTTTGTGAAGAACTGAAAGAGAGAGAAAACAGAGAGAAAAATCTGCGACACCAGCTCATGCTCTCCAGACAGCAACTCAGGGACCTGACCCAAAACAAGGAATCTGAGCTCCAGTGTCTCTTTCAGCAGATAGAAAGGCAAGAGCTGCTTCTTGACGAAATACATCGGGAGAAGAGAGGTGTGTTAGCTGCTCTTACTTTGGTTTTTCTTTTTTTATATTTATGGAATCCTAGGATTAGAAAAAAACCTACTTCTCCTACCTCAGGTTTGGACTGTTCCCAAATCTGTCTTTTTTTCCTTATCTCTGTCTATCTTCTTATCTCTCTTCTTTCTGGGACTCCAACCACAGTGCCCTTCCTGTGTACATAGCATTTGTATCTACTGGCTTGTGGAGGTATTAATTTGATAAAACATGCTGCTTCTCTCCTGGTGCAGTGCCAAAGTTAACAATTACTTTAGTGATCCATTAATGCGTTCAACAAATATTTATTTTGTGCCTATTTTGTGTCAGGCACTGTTCAGGACACCGAGGGTATACTGGTAAATAAAGCAGAGAAAAAACTCTACCCTTATTTAGTTTACGTTCTATTGGTGGGGTGACATGAAATAAATGTAACAAATAGGTGAATTCCATAATATATTCGAGATTCTGCTCACAATGATGAAAACAATAGAGTGAGGGAAGGAGTTTGGGAGAACAGGGGCCGGGGTTTAATATGGAAGCAGTACCTGTCTTTAAAAGTTGGACAAGAGGCTTGGAAGGCTACTTTTCCATTTTGTTTTGCTAGGAATACATCATGACAGGAAGAAGCAAAAGAAAATCATGTATCTCATGTTCTGTTAGCCTTAGGCCATTTTTTAATTGGTGAATCTTATTAATTTAAGAACTGACACAGGCTTAATAGAGGGTTCCCCTGAGAAAAATCTTAACATTAATATGTGATAACCCTTTTAAAAATACATTTTCTAGTTTTCATTTTAGTAATCTGGATTATTCTCCTTGCATGTACCGCTTGTTTGTTACTATACTGCATTGATTCTCTCTCTCTCTGTCTCCCTTTTTTTTTGGTAATTAGGACCACTTTACATTTTAAAAATTTGTGAGGATCCAAAGAACTTTTATAAATGTGTTTATGCATATCAACACTTATCATATTAAAAATTGAAACTGAGAATTTAAACATTTATGTTTTCATTTGAAATAATAATAAACCCATTACATGTTAACATGAAAAGTAAACATTTTCTAAGACAAGATAAGCCGTAAAAGTAACATTGTTTTGCATTATTGCAAAATTTTAAATTTCAGATTCAAATCTTTTTCATTGCTAGCTTAAAAGAAGACAGTCTCATTTTTGCTTCTGTGTTTAATCTGTTGTTATAGTGCATGTCACGTAACCTCTGGAGAAACCATACTTTATATTCATGAGAAATTATAAAAGGAAAATAATTACTCAAGAGGCCAGAAGTTTGCGGCTGCAGTGCACTATGATCGTGAATATACCTGTGGATATGCCACTACATTCCAGCCTGGGCAACATACAAAATTCTGTCTCTAATTTAAAAAAAAAAAAAAGGCAAATAATATCTTTGTATTATTGTTAAGAGGTCTTAGGCAGTTCACAGACTACACTTTGAGAACTGCTGCTGTACTGCAAAGATATAAATTGTGCCATTAGTATACATCATAGAGTGCTCTAGTATTTTTATGACAGCATTGAATTATGGAATTTATGGATAAAATACTATATGACCTCTATACATGTCATGGACTACTCATTAATTAACACTAGATTACAACTCAGTTATATTTTTAGTAAATATTATTAATACAATTACCCTGTAGATTATTTCTTTGTAGATGTATTGATGCAATAGTACATTATAAACATACAAAGCTGTCATTGGAGAGACATCCACAAGAACTAAATATTTGTGCACTTAATTATATTAAAATAACTAGCTTTAGGAGGTAAGGCTAAAACATTTGTTGTCTTTCAAGGTGATTGCTTTTATTTCTACTTTGTGAATTTAATGATAAGTTTTTACTCACTTTATAAAGCATTTTAATTCCTTGTACATTTTAGAATCACCTTGTCAATTCTTTAGAAAGAACCTACTGCTGTTTTGATAGGGTAGTATGAGGTGAATGAATATTTTGATTCCTAGTCTTCTAGTTTTTCATGAACATAGGGATCTATCCTTTTGTTTAGGTCTTTTTTAACTTTTCTCATGAATGTTTTTAGTTTCCAGCAAACAGCACATTTTTATCTATTTATTCCTAACATTTTGTGATTTATGATGCTATAATAAATGGCATTTTAAAATTTCAAATTCTAGCAGTATTTTACTATTAAAAATATTTTTTGTTTATTAACATTGTATTTGCAATATTTCTGAGATTATTTATTAGTTCTAGTAGCTTTTTATTGTTATTCTTGTTGATCCTTAGCACTTAGTGTTTTCCTTGAACATGATCATATTATTTGCAGATAAAGACAGATTTGCTTTTTTTCTTGCCTTAATCAACTAGTGGAGACTTCTAGTACATGTTAAACTAACCTTACTTTCCTGGGGTAAACTCTACATTGACATAATGTATTTTCCCATTTACATATGACTGAGTTTGGTTTATTAATTGTTTTAAGATGCAATAGTGCATTATAAACATACGAAGCCGTCATTGGGGAGACATCCACAAGAACTAAATATTTGTTTCTATGTTCATAAAGAATATTGATCTTTAGTGTCTTTTCTTGTAATATCTTCATCTGATTTAAATATTAGTGTAATGATGACCGTATAAAATAAGCTGAATTGACTTTTCCCTTTTAGTTTTGGGGGGCATTTTTGTAAAGTTTGTATTATTGTTTTTTAAATGTATGGTAGAATTCATCAAGACAGTCATCCAGGTCTGTGGTTTTCATTTTAGGAAGGTTTTTAATTTCAAATTTAAATTATTTAATGCATACGGGGCCATTCAGAATTTCTGTTTCTTCTTGGGCTAGTTTTTTTTTAATGTGTGCCTTTCATGGTATTTGCCAGTTTCATCTAAGATGTTGAATTTATTGGCATAACATTTCTTTTTTTATCAATATTTTTTATTTTGATATTGTGGGGTACAGTTAAGGGTTAGGTATACAAATGTGCTTCGTTCAGGCACCCTTGTTGATAAGGGGTGTCTCCCTGTCCCAAGACAGATATTGAATACTGTTAATCCCACCTCCCTTTCTCTCCCCCACCCATAGTTTCCCACCACTGTCAGTCCTTTTCTTATAGTATTATGATGGATGTTCAAGGTCTGCTCTATGAGTGAGAGCCATAACATTTCTATACTATCTCCTTTTTAACCCTTTAAATTTTTATAAGATCTATATTGATACCTCCTATTATATTTCTGTTATTGGTAATTCTTTTTTTTTTTTGCTTTATAAGTCTTACTGAAGCTTTTATTTATTTTATTAATATTTTCAAAGGAACAACTTTGGATTTTTAACTTTTTTCTATTGTTTGTCTTTTTCTGGTTTATTGATCTTTGCCATTATTTTTATTTCCTTGCTTTTACTTTGTGTACCATTTGTTCTTTTTCTTGCTTCCTTTCATTGGCATTTGTATTTTATCATATTTTCTTCCTAATACAGCCATTTAAAGTTATAAATTTTCACCTTAGTAATAATTTAAGTACATTCCACAAATTTTGCCATGTTATGTTTTCATTATTATTTAATTTGAATTAGAAAATATTTCTCTTGTGATTTATTCTTTAACCATTGTGTATTTTTAAATTTTTTTAGACTTGTACTACTTAATTTCCAAATATGTAAAGAGCCTTCTAGGTATTTTATCATTACTGATTTCTAGTTTAATACTCTTGTCATAGAATGTACTCTCTATGATTTTAATTCTTTGAAATTTGTTGTGATTTATTTTATAGCCCTAAATTTGTTTTATCGTTTTGAATTTTTCAAATTCTTGAAAAATAAGGTATTTTCTGCATCTATTGTAAAATGTTCTAGAAATGTCATATGACAAATTGTTTCATAATATCCTATATCCCTATGAACTTTTTGTTATTTCTATCATTAACTGAGAGATTATTATAATATCCAAGTATCACTGAATTTTTCTTTTGCCTCATATATTTTGAAACTGTTTTTAGATTCTATCATAGCGTTGATTGTGGGACTCTGTCCAGTTAGGGGCCTATTGATAGATTCTCTGTAAAAGGATAAGAAGTACTGAAGAAGAACCTTGGTAGTGGAATTGACAAACAGGCAACAAGTGCAAAATATGTTGTGGAGGACTTAGCACAAGGCATTGTAGGTAAGGGAGAGGGAGACTCATAGCGGGTTCCAAAGTCCCTATAGTTTTGCTATTGGGAGAAATAGGTAAGTCAGGGTGTAGCTGATTTGGTGGGAGGGAAAGAGGGGGCACTTTTTTTTAACCTATTTCTCAACATCATAATGAGAAAAAACAATGTTGTGAAAGCCCAAATGTCTGTAACAGAGAAGTAACATGTTAATCTCTTGTCTTGTGTGTGTAAGATGTTGTGTTGTGCTGTCTATGGATTCAGAAATAATGAGTACTTTAATCTGTTACTAAGTAAATGGTGTTAAAAGTTACAGACTTATAAGAATGTTATAAGGTATAATGAAATAAATATGTTACTAGAAATATTAGCAACATATTCTTCATGAAAAGAAGAGTATTGATTACTTCTGTTGAGGTCCATATGGGGACTGTTTTTGTAGAACGTGTCATTTTATTTGAGTCTTGAAAATAAAGCCAGATTTCCACAGGGAAGACAGGAGTCAGAGAGATTCTCTGTAGGATTTATCTGCATAATTATTTAAACATTGGTTTACAATGGTACATATAGAAGAGGTGAAGGATAGCAAAACTGATGATTACGTTTTGATATTTCTGAAGTATCAAGTTAATTGTTACAGAAATTTATATTTGATTCTTTTCACCATGTTAGAAACTTATCTATTACGTAGAGCAAAGTTAACCTATCTATAAGTGAAATATGACAGAGAAACTTTATTTGCTAGAATTAATGCTATTCTCAAAATGGATATTTTTAGTTTGATTTGATGTCATATTAAGTAACGTGCCAAGTTACCCTAAGTCCCAGGGACACGGAGTTTCTATCAATGGGTGCTGCTAGATTTATAAAGCTGAGTTCTCTTATGTTTCCTGGGTATTCTGGGCCTGCAGTTTTGGGTTGAAGTTTTCTGAAAGGAGTGGAAATCTGTCAAGGGGTTAATGTCAAGGACCTCTTACAAGTTAAGTAATTATTCTTCAGTATTATAAGTGTCAAAAAAGACAAGAGTAAAGAAATGTAAACTGTAGCTGGGTATAAGAATATTTGAGTATAAGAATATTTGAAACCACGAGGTTTACTAAAAACTGAAATGTGGAAGTTGAAAGGATTCTTTTTTCAAAGGTCTTCAGAAGGAGTGGCATCTTTATAGTATAGTTGCATTCTTGCTGTATAAGATGTTAAGAAATATGAACAAATATAGAAGGCCATTTTGGTTTTTTTTCTTAAACTGAGATTGTGACTCTTTCTTAAATGGGACTAATCTTGCTTCCTAGGCACTGGGGGTTTGTGGCTATGGCTATTCGGTGTACATAATTTTTCTTTTTGGAGTTATTAGAAATTGACATGGCCTCTGAAATTTCTTCACCTTAAAGATGAATTTGATCTTCTTACCTTTCCAGTTTTGGGTAGGTGTTAGACTCATTTGGCTTGTAAGACTAGGTGGGATCTTCACCCATTCTCCACTGTCTTGATACTATAAGTATAATGTATAAAAAACAGTAATTCCCAGCAGCAAGTACTGTACAAGGCTTCCTGAATCTGTTGCTGTCTTGTATCATTTATGGAATATACATCTAAGGATGAAATAAGCCACTGTCAAAGCCTCCTTGTTAGAGAGTTCTCTTTTGAATAGCTATAAAAGGAAAAGTAATACAGGTAGTAGGATTTGGAAGAGAGTCTTCTAGTCACTTCAGAAAATAATACCTTTGCAGCAGAAGACTAATTGCTCAAATTGTTTGTTTTTGGTTAACACCTGTGTCTTAGCCAAGAAGTAGGCAGTGAAGGAAATATGCAGCAGTTCAGCAGTTTTAAGTTTCACCTTAGTATTAGCTATGGGTGTGGCAAGCAGTTAGAGGCCTGTCCTGGCCCAGCAATAGCTTATTTCTTGTGTCAGTGAATTTTGGGAAGACACAGAATTGAGAAACGTGCTTAGCTATATGTATCAACTAGAATAGAATTTCCATGAAGGTGGAGATTTTTTAATGTTTTGTTGAATACTGTACCTCCAGTGTTGAATACTATATCTCCAGGTACCATGTACCTGGTACACAAGTAGACATGTCAAATATTTGTGAATAAGAGAATGAGTGAGTGAATGAATAAATGAGTACTAAAGGGGCACAATTAATAGTGGAGCATAATATTGGGTAAAAAAATTTGCACCTTAAAAAGAAATCATAATTGTCCCTTGAAGTTTAGATTTAGAAAGACAGATGATATCTGGCCATGGGCCCAAATTTACTTATTTTTCCCTTTTTTGAATTTTACTTGGGTACTTATTAAACTCTGTATAACCAAAAGACACAACAGCAAGTATTTGACAGAAGTTGATTAAGTAATTTCATTAGAGTAGTTTACCTTTTATTTATGATACTCTGAGATTAGGTAACAGTATTTGTCTTTCTAATATTTCAGTTATGTATTATATTTTAAGTAGCAGTATTAAATGACTTACTTTTTTATTTATCTCATGACAGTATTCTCTGAGATTCCTGATTCATTTAGGGACACTATAACATTGCTACTAGTAATTCTAGCCCCTTTTTGTACAATGATTTAACTTCCTAGTGTAATATGTGAAAAAATTCAAAATAACTTACTATCAAAAAAGCAAATAAAGGATATTAAAACTCTATAGATGCCTAAGATAGCCTCAGTCCTTATGAGTAAAATGAGTATAACTTTTAGAATATTATTCCCCGGGGGGGAAGCGGCAAGATGGCGACGGGGCAACCCGGTCTCTGAAGCCCTCTGCAAAGGAGATCTGCAGTGGGTCTCTGACTCTCGCCCCGGGGGGCTGTGGACCCCAACATCGCAGCCTGCTCTTCATACAGAGCTCAGCCGTTGCCACCGCTGGGACATCGCAACGGACTGGACAGTCACTGCGGCGCAAACGGTGCTGCCACCGCCGCCGCAGGCCCCCTTCACTACCGCTGCTGCCGCAGCCTCTGTGACAGCCATAGCACATCACACCACCCGGGCCGAGGTGATCCACATCAAACCCCTTCAGGGAAGATCTGCTGGGATCACTGCCACCTCTCCTGGGACCTAGACTGTCCTGCCCGCCTGCCATAAGTCTCCTGTTGCCTGCCCTGAGGCAGGCAGCCATCTTGTTCCTGTCCGGCCCCACCCCCTCTGGGGTGAGCAGCTGAGATAGCACCACCTGCTGGCAATTCAAGGTAACAACACCGAAACGGGAGAAACAAGCTTGATAAAGACATAGGCCAGAGTGCTGAACGGAGGGTAATCTGAACTGCCCTTCACAGCAGACCAGGGGCAACTGACCCTAACTGCAAACTAATTTACCAGCTTGAAAAGAAAACTAGAAATCAGACCTGAAAGGACATTGGACTTAAACGAAATGTCTCAGAGTGCGCTTCATTGATTCTATTAGTCTAATGACTTAATTCTATCC